TCTATTTCGGACTTTGATATCGAGGATGAGAACAAAACTTACAAACAATTAAATCATAATCTTTACCTTAAAAAATCATACTTGCCATGATTGCAATAACGGATCTTTTTAATCGATAAACTCATCTCTTTCACCAAAAATTTGGTGCTATAGAAGTCTTCGTCATATAATTATCAATAAATATAAACTCCTTCATTAGCCGACATAACTCGCGTAACGACTTCCAAAAAAATAGTTTTTCGCTTTAAGGTTTAACATTCGAGCAATCGTAGAAAACTAAGAGTGATTTTTAAATCCCGACTAAATCTCTCTATTTGATGTATTCAATATATCATGAAAAGCCTACATATTGGGATTTGGCACCTTGTTGATGTTAAATGGAATAAAATGATGGATCTCGCTATATCCATTACCATTGTTTGATATGTATTAAAAAGTTTAACAAAAATATGTTTTCCTTCATCATATTTATTCGAAACTAAATTTCTTTCGACTTAATTTCTCTATGATGGATCCAATCATAATATCTAAACACAAAATCATATTTTACTAAATGATATTTAACCGTGTGAACCTCTTTATATTTATGGTTTTGACATTTACGGTAATTATAAAGATATCTTATCTTTCTTATGTCCATGCATTCAAGATGACTAGCGACAAATGCAATAAATTCTCTAACCTCATTCACGAAACCCTCATTTAAAATCCCATTGATAAAGCTAAAGTCCATCCATGTACGATCGATCCTTATACTTTTCTTTTACATTATCAAGCCAATACATAATTACTTCTTTACCAATTACGTAAAAAATCTAACAATATTTTGATAGAGTCTCTCCTATAAATTGGATGTTTCCTAATTCCAAGAGACTCCACCTGCATTAAAAACTATATATCCAAAAAACACAACACATGCATACATTTTTAATTAATTATCATCACACAAATATGAACTAAAAGTCACATTTAAGCAATTAAATAAATAAATTTATGCATATCGATATTGACACTTGCCTCGGATAATCCATTAAATTAAATCTCAAAATCATCCTCACGGCTCCATCATAGAGCATTAAACTAACCTTATTTCTCCTCAATTTTAAGAGTCTCCAACCTCCGGAGTTTTATATGCTACAACGTATCTCGACACACTTCAACAATATTCGGTAAAATAAATGCAATATCATATGTCACAATTAACTTAAAATTACTTTACAAAAAAAATTTGAAATTGGGGTTTCCATAACTTACCTTGCGAGTTAGAGTAACTGAAAAATTATTGGAGTGGTTGGAGTGAGTGTTGATAATATTACTCGACTAGCTAGAATAAATTTGTATATGAATAATTAGTATCACAATTCATTCAACAACTAATTATTTATCTATATCAATTAAATTTGACTAAATATTAATTTATCAATTTTTAAATTCTAAGTTCAAATAATCATATATTATGTCATTTTAAAAATAATAATTTAATTTAAAATTATGTGATATTTTAAATCCAATGAATTAATTATCAAATGACTCTACTTTTATTTTTAATCATTGTATAAAAAATTACAAACTAAAAATTTTATCCGAATTTATCAACATCTAAACCTAATTAATTCAAAACAATGTTGATAAATTAAAAATATACTCAATTAAATTTTAAATAACATAAATTTGAGTTTTCTACCATATTTACTAATAATTAATCACATATATACAAATGGATAAAATTTCAAACACCTCAAAAATAGTAAAATTAAAAGTAATACACAAAACCTACACAAATTAAATATAAAATATAGATTAGGAGAAAGACATATACCTAATTTAATCAATTGTAGGTTTCTCTTTCGATAGAGAGACAAAGAGAGACAGAGAGAGAGAAGTGACTATTTTGGTATGAGAGACAGTTGGATTGGTCGGGGATTGTTGGGGAGCATTGGAGGAGTAGGATTTGTGAGGTGTTTTAAGGGATATTGTAGCCGACAAGGACGCTTGGAGGAGACTGCAGACGAGAGGGAGAAGAAAGAAGAAAATGAGGGGAAAATGGGATTTTGTCAATTTAGGGATTTAACTTTAGCGACGAATATGTCTATGTTGCTAGTTTATCGTTAATCATCGATGGACATAAGTGTACGTCATTTGGTTTTGAATTTTAAACGAGCACCTTTTTTTTTTTTTTACCAATAATAGCAACTGACAAGATTCATTGCTATTATTGGTAAAATAGTAACGAACATTATCCGAGCTGCTTTGCGACAAATTAAAAGAATTAGTTATGAAATATTCCCTCGCTATCAAGACCCAAAAAAACAAAAAAATATTTAGTCCGTCACCGAGTATTCTCGCAATTTTGTTGTTAATCCGTCGTTAAAACAACCATGAATATTTTACCGTCTTATTTAACGACGGACTTCATCTCGTCATTAATAATCTATCGCAAACTTTTCAGTATTACATAGCTAACATTCACATCTCGATAAAAGTTATAATTCGTTCGCTAATCTGTAACTATTTAGTGATCAAATAATATATGTTATTGATGTTCATTACTAAATTACATATTTTTGTAGTGATATAACCAGCACTTGAAAGGAAAAGAAATACACATTTAACAATATAATTTTTTAGTTAACAAAGTGTTGGTATATTGATATTATTCATCAAAAAAAAAATTGTTTGTTCAAAGAAAAATTGGTAGATAAATTTTGTGTTTAAAAATATTAGGAAGAAAGAATCTTTATTCTGAAAGCAAAATCAAGCAGTTGCAGTTGAATAGGAACTCGTTTGGCATGACATCTTGGGCAGACGCTAGCTATATATTACTAAACAAACGATCCGAGAAAAGTCGTACTTACCATGTGAATATGATCCAGAGCTCCATGAGTGAATTGCAAATTACAGGGTTCATAAACAAGAGCATCATCAACTTGCTTGTGGCTGGCAGTAGAAGTTACATAGCTAGCCAGCCGCAAATTTTAGAAAGGATGGATTTGCGTTGGAATCCTATAAAGTAGCTGTCTTAGCTAGATTCCCATAAGAGTGGTATGACAGATTTATATTTGTTATTTATATATTTAACCAAAAAAAATATATGTCAGTGTGACTTACAAGTTGTCGAAGGGATCACAAGGAAATTTTAAACTCCATGTGCTGCTTTTGCTTTTGGATTTTCTAGCAGTATTATTTTACTGTGGTTATTAATTAAGATTCTAGAGACTGGAGGAGAAAATTTTTCTAAGTGTTTTGGCTGGCTGGGAAATAACATCACTTTATTATTATTATTATTTTAAAGGGAATTAACATCAAAAGCTGCCAGATATATATATATATATATATATATATATATATATATATATATATATCACTAGCTGCCAAGATATATGGTTAGGTCTAGCTATATTAAACCCTAAAAACGAAATCTTCTGCGTAGTGGAAGAAAGTAGGCCAAGAGAATCTCTCCACCTTCTTGGGTCAAAGTTTTGTCCACAACTAATTTTTTACATATGCAAAAATCTTTATTATATCACCTATATATATATATATATATTGCCATGTGCAAGGAAGTACGAAACAATTCTCCCTCTGTTTTTTTTTTTTCGAACTGTTCTTTAATTACTAATTTTATTGTTATTTCTTTCATTCAAGTACTATGTTTGGCAGGTCCAGAAAGGAAAAAAGTAGGAGTTGCAATTATTCAAATCCCAATTTAATCAACAGAATATGATTTAACTCACTCTGTGTATATATATGTTTTCTATTTGTTTTAGTAGGAATTATTTGGAGATCCGTGTTACGCTATAGTCGGACAACTATTATATATGTAAGATTAACAATTTGTATAGTGTAGTGTAGAAAAAAATCTTATTTTTTGTAATTATTAAAAAACTAATCTATTTGTTGAGAAAAAATCGTTTGATTTATATATATTTATTAATAAAATAATCAATAATATTATCATAAAAAGTTATATTTGAAAAATTGAAAAGTTCTTTTAAAACATTATTTTAATTATTTTATTTAAAAAAATATTGATTTTAGAACATAAAAAAAATAATTGATATTATGTGTGTAGATACATAATTAATTTTCAACAAAACCAATATATATTGGTTTTTTGAATCCGGATACATAATTAATTTTCAATAAAATTAATGATATATTATGATCATACTTAGTAGATTCAAAGTATATAATATAAATAATTTTTAAAAAAAAAACATCTAAATTATATGAAATATATTAAAGTCAATAAATTGAAATAAAAACTACTACAAAATTGATTCTTGTAAACTTTACTTCTTAATTTATGATGAAAAATTTTTTTGAATGGTAAATTAAATTATAAATTAGTTCATCTTATTTTGAGAAACGAATTAATTAATTCTTTTGCTTTCAAATAATCTTTTAACAATTAATTTATTTATTATTTTATATTTTTTTTCATATTTTCACTTATTTTTTTGTTCTTTATCTATTTCTTAAAACAAAAAATAAAAATAAATTAAAAAATAGCGAAAAGGACAATAAAATTAGTTTTAAAACCAAAAGAAGTAATTAATTTATTTCTCAAAGAAAGAGGGACTAATTTATAATTTACTCTTGAATAGCAAGTGGTTAGAGCCTAAATTCATCATTCATGGGAACTTTTATTGTAGTTGTTTGGAAATGAATACTAAATACACATGATTTTGTTTTATACATAAAACAAATGCTAGTATTTATGTTAAATGAGGGTTGTATATTTTGTTGCGGATCATTGCAGTCGATGGTTTTATGGGCCAAAGGCTTGAAATTCCAAGCTATGTAAATCCTTCGGTGGTTGCCTTGATTGATGTGTGCTTGGATAAGTAAGTGGGACATTCATTATCGGACCTACTTCCAAAGAGTTTATAGACTAATTTTATCTCTCAAATTTGAAATTCGTCCATCTTCAAGAAACCCTACCCAAGAGAAGGAACAAAGTAATATACAAGGCATGCCTTTAATCTCTCTTCCTTTTACTACGGAGAGCCCTCGGACCGTCCTCCATTCTCGTATATTATGGAAACTTTACGAGAGCCGATAAATAACTCCATCTCCCGACCAGTTGCTCCGGCATTTGATGACAAATCTATAAGAGGGGAACTCCATATAAAATCTTAATTAATATGCAATGTGCCATTCATTTTATGCTCATCCGGTACATATTTCAAGTTTGCCCAATCATAACGAGCAACCATCGAAAAACAAACATACAAAACATCAAATTCGAAGCCAAAATTCTTGAAACCAAGACAGATCTGACATATCAAAAAGAAAAAGAAAAAAAAGTGCTAAAATAACAAAAATAATCGACAAATTCTATTTCAATTCACCTATCAATATTGAGATCTCCTAACGTGAACAGATGGAATTTATCATAAAGTTGTTGAAACAAAGTTTTACCAAAGCTAGTGATTCTATAACATTCATTCTAAACATAATTTTCACATCTAAAGCATTTGACATACCCAACTTTCAAAAGGCTCAAATATATAAATAAAATTTTGAGAAAATTTACTATATATCCTAAACTTTATGTAATAGAATGAAATAAATGAACAACAATCAAATTCCGTTAGATACGGTGTAGTTAACAAAATCATAACAATGAGAAAATACAACATCTAGAACAAAAAAGCAAGAAAATAAGAAAAATATTATTCGAGTAGATAGAATATGCCACTTGCATTACTTAGCCTATGTATTGAGCGATCCACAATCAAAGAAACAACTATAAAGATTGTAAAGACATTTACAATTGAACATGTTGGAGTTAAGGCCAACGATCTATTTTTATTATTATTATTATCATCTTCTTCCCTTCAAAGCAATCCTACTTAGACACAAAAAATTTTGTTTTAAATCTTAACACCCTTAAAATCCCATTCTAAGTTGTACATCAACAACAACAAGCACACAAATTTGTTACTAAGAACCCAAAACCTTTACTATCTTCTTCCATTCAAAGCTTTGATTCTTGCCTAATAAATTAAACAAATTATAGAAAATCACTTGAAGCTCGAGTTCTCGATTTATAACACAATCGATGTTAGGATCATATAATCTAATAGTTACAAACACCTAATTTCCATTTTCTTCCTTTATAGATACCTCCAAGACTTGCATAAATTCTCAATTAGGTTTGAAAATAGATAATTTTTTTTAGCACAAAAAGATAATAGAAGGAGCAAATATAAAAGAAAATAATAATAATACTAATACTAATAGAGATTTTTCATGTCACCAAAAACATTCTTGATGGAGAAGGAAGAATCATCCAATTTTGATCATTTCTTGAACAAATACTTGCACAACTCTCTACTATTGAAACAAAAACGAATGATTCTTTTTCTTACTTATCGAAGAAAAAAGAAAGCAAAAAGAAGAAGAAGAAAAAAAGAAACTACCATGAGAGGAGTCATCAAATCGGGTAGGGAAAGAGAGGTATCGAGGGTGAGGGGTGATGCTTGGAAGAATATGAGATGTCAAGTTTTCTCCTCCGAGCTTCCTCTGCAATTGCCATAGCTTTTTAGATCTCTTTTTCCGCTCCCCTTGACTCTCTCTCCCTTCTCCAGTTCTCCCTCTCTCTATCTCATAGAAATTCACTAATTCGAGTGCATTTTAAGAGATAAGATCGAGCACATGGCATTCAATCATTGACAATAGAGATTATACCATTTCTACCTAATAAAGGAAATCAAACGGTTGACGAGATAGCATAATGCATCTAAGTCATAATACATAGTGATAATGAGTCTTAATATATAGTAAATGAATAGTGAACTAAATAGTAAACTATTCAGTTCTTTTGCATTTTAAGAGATAAGATTGAACACGTGGCATTCAATTATTGTTGATAGAGATTACACCATTTCTATCTAATAAAGGAAATCAAACGATCAAGAAATCAAAATCAAACGATCGAAGAGACAAGACACGGTGCATCTAAGTCATAATACACGGTGATAATGAGTCTTAATATATAGTAAATGAATAGTGAACTAAATATAAACTATTCGAGTTCTTTTAGTTTTTTTAGAATGTATATATTTTATTTGATTAAAATATCTTTCTTTGTGCCGACTTGCATGTCGAGTTAAATTTCTTTTACGAACAATTTTAAAGGTACATCTCTACATTAATATAATGCATTAAAAAAATAGAGAATTACTATAAAAAACCCTTTTAAAAAATTTATTATCTAAATTTTCACCAATTTATTTTTAAATGTCTCAAATCCAAAATAATATTTTTCTTATTAAAATACCAAGTAGTTAATCATCAACTTAACACTAGGTAGTTATTTGGTATTTTATTGAGAAAAATATTATTCGGATGTGAAAGATTTAAAAATAAATTAATGCATTTTTTAAATAGAAGATTTTTAGAGGGTTTTTTTTTGGGTAATTACCACTATTTTAAATAAAAACATTTTCTTTCATGATATATATTTTTATTATGGATGCTCGTGTTTTTATT